CATAAGCACGATCAAGTGTTCTGGGATTCCCATTCTTCTCAGAGTCAGCCACAGTTTGTTATGATCTACACAGTGAAATGCCTTGTCCTATCCTGAGCCAATCTCATCATCTCTGAAACACCTGATCCCATTGCACCAGTTATTGTGTTAATCCATTTTATCCAGGGTCTTCCTTTCTTGCACTGTCTGTCCACCTCTCTGAGTATGATGTCTTTCTCTGTTGGTCCTTCCTGGACACGTGCCCAAAATATGTGAGACGGAACATCAAAATCCTAGCCTTCAGAGAAAAACTTGGTATCACCCTCTCTAAGACTGATATTTATTATCCTGGCGGTCCATGGTGTATGTTCAGTACTCTTCTTCAGCACCACAACTCAAAGGCATCAATTCTTCTTCTGTTATCCTTTGTCATTGTCCTGTTCTCTGTTGCATAATATCTAAGGGATTGTTGTTAGTTGCCATGTAGTCAAGCATGACTCATAGCGACCTTGTGAACAGAAGACCTGAAGCCTTTCTATAACTATTGTCCTTTCTCAAAGTTCATAGAGTTTCCAGAGGCACATTGTTTAGGAAGTCGATGCCACTCCTTCTTAGTCCTTGGAAAAAGACATCATACTGGGAAATGTGGAGGGTCAGAGAAACAGAAGAAGATTCTTAATGAAAGGATTGACTCAGTGACTGTAGCAATGGGCTCAACTGAACATTTGCGCATAAAAGAGATTGTGAGGATGGTTCAGGAGAGAGCAAGGTTCAGATCTGTTGTTCATTGGGTTGCCAGGAAGTGCAGTTGACTTGAAGACACATAACAACAACAATCACTACCTCTCACTAGTGTTGGATACAAGAGTGCCCCTTAGCCAGCATGGTGTATGCCAATTTCTGACTCAGACATCACTGTGGGAAACTAGCTTATCAAGAAAGGACTTTATTTTAAAAAGAACACTCTAGAGATCTGACGTTGTATTTACAAAAGTAGCATGACTATTAATTTGTAATTTTTACCTTGGCAAACTTTCAAAATGAATTCAAGGCAACTAATAAGAGTAATAGTATTTAGCTTGTAGAAATTACCACAGGAGCACAAGCTTTATGTATAATAGGAAAGATATTTTAAATTATTAAACTAGAGTATTTCCAAGCAAAATTTAATTGATACTCACCAATCAAGAAGTAAAGAGTTCCATAAATATTTTGTTTGGCATCTGTGCTCACACAAATACAAGAAAATTATACATATTTTCTTGGATGAACAATCTCCTGTGAGATTTACTGCCTCTAAAAACCTACTGAGAAGTCAGCTATGGGTCAGTTCTCACTCCACAGTACATAAAAACAAAACAACAAAAATCCCTTTCTTGATTCACAGTGGGCTGTGAAGTTCCAACTGACTCATAGCTGATCTTACCCCCGGTTTTTGGAGATTGCCCATATTTCTCCTGCAGAGCAGCTGGTGGTTCTTGAACCGGCTGTCGTTGGGTTGGTAGTGCCATGCCTTACCTACCAGGCCACCAGTGTGTGTGTGTGTGTGTGTGTGTATACACACACACACACACATACATATACATATACATACACATATACATATACATATACATATACATATACATACAAGTAATTGGCACCAGCAGTGGCCATGGTAGGTATTTAGGACTATGTGTGCTGCTTAGAGAGTAAAGAGATGAGTTTGGAGCCCCTGTTTCTTTGACTTGTACCTTCTGAGATTAGCATACACTATGACCTATTTCTCCCACCATCTACCTTATTGTCGTGTAACATCAAGTAGGAACTGACTCACAGTTGACCCTCTAGCAGATTTTCAGAGGCTGTAAATATCACTAGAAGAGATTGCCCATCTTTTTCCTGCGGAGCAACTGGTGAATTCAAACCTCGTGCCTTTGGGTTGGCAGGGCAACTGAACCACTTAGCCTATGGCTCCTGTTTTGATATTGAAACTACTGAAGAGGGATATTGAGTGAATGGAAAAATGAAATAAAAAAGGAGGGAAGGTAACTATTGCATCATTAATTAGCAAATTGTCTCTGCTTATTCTGTATAATAGGCTACACTGATACACGTGATTATTAGCTGCTGACGGGTTGATCATAACTCATAGCAACTCTTCCCGAAGCAGAACGAACCACTGTGAGCCCTGCATCATTCTCACATCACCACCGTGCCCTCTGTATTACTGAAGCTTTTCCTCTTTGTCGTTGACCCTCTGTCACTACCAGACAGCAGCCATTTAGGGCTGAGTGGTCCACCACTGGTAGGCCCCAGCATCCCCAGAGGCAAGCCCTTCTGCTGAATTACCTAGTCCTCTGTGGTTCAGAGAGGTCCATGAGGATGAGGTTTATGAGCCAAGACAGGAAAGCCAGATTAGACTTCAAAGTGTCAACTTGCTATACAAATAACGATAAAGAGTGGCTTGCCTGAGTAAGAAGACTGGTGCATTATGGGGTTTGTCCCTCCTGATACCATGCCCAAAGTATATGACGAAGTCTCACCTCCCAGGCCCATTCTGGTGGCTTTTCTTCTAGGACAGATTTGTTTGTTCTTTTGGCACTTCATGACGTATACCTTATTTTTCACCAACACAATCCAAATGCAACAATTTTTCTTTGCTCTTCCTTATTTATTGTTCAGCTTTCACATGCATATGAGACAATTGAAAATCCCACACTTAGGGATCAGACACACCTTACAGCACAAAGAGATATCCTTGCTTTTTAGCACTTCAGAAGCATTTTGCAGCAAATTTATTCAATGCAATGCTTGATGTCTTGACCACTGCTTCCATTGCAGTTGATTGTGGAGCCAAATACAATTTGGCAACTTCAGCGTTCCCCCATTTTCTATGATGTTGATTTTTGGTCCATTTATGAGAATTTCTGTTTTCTTTATGTAGAGGTTGATCTTCATTGTAAGGGCTTCAAGCCTTCCTTTTTAACTAGCGGGGTCATGCCATCTGCCTATTGTAAGTAATTAATGGGTAATTAATCCAACCTTGATGCTGCATTCTTCACGAATACATATGCACCCTGATTGTATAATCCACTCTCCAGTCATGTGTGTATATAATACATGACCATAGCTCATCAGGATATCGCTGAAGCTGCTGAGGACAGAAGACGATATGACCTCTTTATTTCGTGCATTTGCTTTCCGAGGTTGAAAACGAATTTAAACATTTTCCTCTCCTTGTAGTGTGGATAGGTAATATTCTTGACAAAGCTAGAGCCTTTGGGAGCTAAAAGCAGAGGAGTTAGAAACAGAGGGGTGTAAGCTGAAACATCATTGTAAACTTCAGCTCAAACATTCTTCAGCAGAAAGACTTGTCATCTCTTGGTATGAAAAAGCTCCGTTTTTAACATGGTGTGCCAGTCTTTTTAATTGAGCAAGCCCCGCCTTAACTTTTACTTGTACAATGAATTGACACTTTGAAGTCCAGTTTGGCTTTTCAGTCTCAACTCAGGACAGCCAAGGGTGTCAAGATTCGGGTGTAGTACCCAGGCTCAGGTGGTATCTAACTAGCAAAGTGAACGGTAAGATAGCCTCATGAGATAGCAGCCAGTGAGGGCGGGGTGGGCAGAACCCACTGCTAGGAGCGCAGAGTAACCGCAGGGGCATATTGTTGTTTTTGTAAGTAGCTTGAAGGAATGTCAAAGACTATCTCTGGAGTGGCCTATTAATTAAGAGATGGTTTCTCAGGGCTCGATGATAGAGGATGGATGGTTTTAGTCTTCGTTCTACCAAGTGTGCTAGGAAGTTCTTGCAGCCTTACCCTCTCCTGGGAGTTTGTCTGCAAGCAGATTCTCAGGCAGCCCCCCAAGAGCAACTGAAAGGGAATCTGCATTCATCTCACATTAAAGTTTGAGAAGCGCCCGTGCAGGTGGGGAGGACAGCACTATCAGCAGGTCAGCCGACTGCCTGCCTTCGCGCTCCCCGGCCTCAGAAGCGCAGCTCAAGCCTGCAAAGGTGCAGCGTGACATTTGGGCAAATCCAGAGCGCGTGCGGAGGGGGCGTGCATCGGCTTCCCCGCGGGGAGGGCGGGGGCAGACGTGATTGGCCTAGGGCGGCGTCCGGCGGCCACCGGTGTCGCGGCGGAGGGGACACTCCCCCGGCCCGCCCTCCCTCCCCTCCCGCAGCTGCTGCGCTCGCCTCCCGCCGGCTGCCGGGAAAACCCGGAGCGCGGCGTGCTCGCCCGGAAAGTCCTCCCAGGGGCGCAGGAGAGCAGCTGAGCATGCTCAGTAGCTGGGGGAGGTTTGGGTGGAGAGTGAAAAGCGGCGGCTCTGCCTCCCACCCCCTCTCTCTGGCCCCCGCCCCCTGGCCCCTGCTCAGCTCATAGTAGTTCCCCAGCGTGCGCCCGGGGAGACCGGGAACATGGCGCTCAGAGCCATCTAGCCACTGAGCACAAGAAAAGGATGCGCCGCTGCGCTCCGTTGACAGCAGCCGCCAGGTAGGCAGGCGTGCCCGGCAGGGCGGCCGGGGTGGACCCCGACACGGGGAGGGGCGCTCGTGGGGATGCGCGCGGCTGGGACCCGGGCATCTTGCCTGGCCGGGAAAGGATGCAGAGCTGACAGCTGTGACAGCGCGCGATTGTGCATCTCCTTGGAGATGCCAAAGGCTGGGGACCAGTAGCTTGGAGGGAAGGGATCCAGGGGCCAAGCCCCCCCACCCCCACCCCCTTGCGCTCTCATTCAGCCTGTGTCCCTGGGGGTCAAATAAAGGATAGCTCCTGTCTGCTGGGCTGGGGGGCGTGGGGAAGACGCCAGGCTGGCAGCTTGGCGAGCGCGCTGGTACCCTGGACCTCTCACCAGCCCAGCACCAGTTCTTTGTGTATACAGCCGCGCACGCCCGGGGGGTGCCACGATGCGATGCCTGCCTCTCCCGTGGAGTGGTGGATATATTGCCAGGGCAGGATTCCCGTGTGGCTTCTGTCATTTGACAGGTATGGACTGGAAGATGCAATAGCTTAGCCTCTATGGGGTTGTCTTTTCCTTTGTTACTTGCCTGTGTGTGTGTGTGTGTGTGTGTGTGTGTGTGTGTGTGTATGTGTGTGTATGGGCATGGTGGGTTGTAATGGAGAGAGAGAGAGAGAGAGAGAGAGAGAGAGAGAGAGAGAGAGAGAGAGAACTTCTGCTCGTGGCACGGGCGTGGGCAGAGCGTGGAAGAGGATCTTGGGTCCCAACTCTTATCAAAATCATGCACAGGCTTGGCCTACTGGAGGGTAAACTTGGAAAGTCCAGGCGTGCATCATCAGTGCCCGGCTTGGAGGACAAGCGCAGCCACCTCTGTTGAAACGTGCGTTTAGCTGGAGCTTTACACATAAAATGTGAGTTAATCCCCTAACACTCAATACCGGTTAAGGGCACGTGAAGTATTGGTGCTGTCTGTGGTGGGCGTCTCAAGGCCAGGCAATAAAGAGAAAGAGAAGTTGGCATAAAGCCAGAGGAAAGTGTCGTCGTTAATAGTTGATGGCAGTGTGCAAGGCTGATTACACCTTAGGGGGCATCAGGAAACCTGGCCTTCAGTGAAGATGCTACTAGGAAAAAGTGACAGGGTCTTAGGTGATTCCCAGAGCCTGTCCACACCTCTTTTTCTTTTCTCTGGTTTGGTGGCTTGAGAATGTTTCCTCTTACCTGAATGTTAAAGGGCAAGACAGATGCTCTTTAAGGCTTCTCCTAAAGGAGAATTCTATCAAATCAACTCCCTGGAGTAATAGCTTTGCCTCCTGATATTTGCATATGCCATGCAGGATATTGACATGCTCCTTTATGTCCTCATTTACATTTGTATGTATCCATCAGCCTCCTCAATGAGTTAGGAAAGGAAGACAAATTGGAAGCAAGCTTTGGAATGTATTTTCTTTGTAAGGATGGACATCTGTGAATATGAAGTTAGGGACACTTCTGCACGAGACCATGTTTTTTTAGTAGCAGAATGAGTCCGTATTATCAAGATAAAATGAAGAATGTTTGATGGAAATGTATTTAAGTAAATGCAAGCCATAGGTGTTTGTTCTGACAGCAATATTTGGATTTGGTATACATAGATCCTCAGGAAAGGCTTTGCTAATGGAAACAATTAAAATTGATAGCAAGCTCATTGATGACATTGATCTTAGAATAAAATTTTGTGTTCTTCTGTGGATGGATAGAGATTTGGCAGTACTTTGGCTCTGCAGTTTTTTACTTTGCTGATGAAAGTGAGTTTTAATTGCAAGAGTTGAAAACATCTGTGCCACTCATGTGAGAAGTAGACATTCTAGGGCGTAGTATCATCTTGATGAGAAAGGGTTGAGTTTGAACTCTGGTTCCTGTACATTATTCGTTCTGTGTTCCTAGACAAGCTATTTAGCTTTCCCAAGCCCTAGTTTCCTCATCTGTAAAATGAACCTTAGAATAGAACTCCCTACTTATATGTGTTGTTGTTGTGGGCCATTGAGTCGACTGCAACTCACAGTGACCCTATGAATAATAGCTCTGAACTCTGCCTTATCTTGAGCCAATGTGAGGATTCTCATAATGTCAACCATTATGAAAAAGGTGATAGCCATTAGAAGAGACAAAGAAGTGGGTATCTATTGAACTTTCACTGTGTGCTTGATATTATGCCCACTCAAACTCAACTCACCACCACTGAGTCAGGAGTGACTGATAGCTGACCCCCAATGAATTTCCAACGCTATAAATCACAAAGAGATTGCCCTTTTTTTCTCCCTCAAAGAGCCTTGGTCTTTGTGTTAACAATTCCCTATGGATTATGCCACCAGAGCTCCCACATATCACATTGGTTAGGTTCAACCTTGTGATCCCATCCAGTCTTCCCAACTGTTTGTAATGTCACTGTTAATATCATGACAGCATAAGCTCAAACCACTGCCTCCAGAATTGAGTCACATCTTAATCGTAGTAGCCCCATGGGGTAGAGTTGAACTGTACCACAAGGTTCCCAAAGCTGTAAATCTTTAACTGGAATAGACTGCCCATCTTTGTTGTGGAAAGCAGCTGGTGGTTGTGAACTGCTGACTTTTTGCTTAGAAGATCTGCATTTAGCCCATTGTGCTACCAGGGGTCTTTGCCAATCTAAAGGCAGAAGCTAAAAGTAGAGTCAATGTAATCAGAAAAGACAGTAAAGGTAATTTAATATAAGTAATCTCTGTGAGACTTTATGTTCCTGTTCATGATAACAGGAAGAATGGCATTAGAAGTACTTCACTTAAATAAGTAGAGAAAGCATCTCTGTGAGATTTACAGCCTCAGAAAACTCACTGAAAGGTGAGCTGGCAGTCACATCTGACTCAACACTATTAAGAGAGAGAAGAATCATTTAAATAGATTTCATTTCTCATGGATACACAATCAACTCTCAAGGAAGCAATTGTCAAGAAGAAATCAAAGAATGTATTTTTGTGAGCAAATTTGCTTCAAAAGACCTTTTTAACATGCTGAAGAGCAAACATATGCCTTTGAGGACCTTTGAGGGCCAACTTATGGTATTTTGAATTGCTTCATATGCATGTGAAAATTCGACAATGAATAAGGGAGCCCATGGAAGAATTGGTGCCTGTGTACTGTGATGTTGGCCAAGAGTCTTGACTGTACCACGGACAGCCAAAAGAACAGACAAATCTCTGTTGGAGGAAGTACAAACAGGGTACTCCTTAGAGACAAAAATGGTGTGATTTTTTCCTCACATACTTTGGGCATGATGTCAGGAGGGGCCAGTCCTTGGAAAAAGATATGCTGAGGAAGTTGGAGGGTCAGCAAAAGAGAGGACCACTCCCAAAGAGACGCACGGACACAGTGACTGTAACAAGGGCTTTGAACATGTTAGAGACCATGCGGATGTTGCAGGGTAGGGAGAGATCTGTTGTTCATTGTGTTGCAATGAGTTCATTGTCAACTTGACAGGACGTAATTCTAAACAGATTCTAAGCTTGTATTCTAAACAGATCTCAGCAAAGCCTTCTTTCCATCCCTGTCTTCACCACCAACAAACTCTTAAGTCATTATCTTTCACTTTGACAACTAGTGTGACTTCCTAGCTAGACTCATGCTTTCTTTCTTGACCCCTCTAAGTCCTTTATCCATATCAGGCAGTGGCATGTGAATCTCCTGCATGATGCGTGAAACACATCCACATGCCTCACAAGATTGCTGAGACTCCGAAGGCCTTGAGTGCTTGGTCAGTTTTTCTTGGACAGCTCTGCCTCCTGCTGCCGTCACATTGACCTGCTGTTTCTTAAGTTTCCTAATTAGTTTCTCCTATTCTTGGCCAAAAAAACCACATCTACCTTAGAGAAAGTGCGGCCAGGGCACTCCTTCTTGGACTCAAGGATGGCAAAGCTTTGCCTCACAGACTTTGGGCATGTTGTTAGGGGAGGGTAGTCCCTGGAGAGGGACACCACACTTAGAGAAGTGGAGGGTTGACGGAAGAGAGGAAGACCTTTTGTCAATGACTACTGAAATGGGCTCACATAGATGGTGAGGATGGTGCAGCAAGATGAGGCTGGACACGGCTCAGATCTGCTGTTCATAGGGTCACTATGAGTCGTACTTGATTTGATGGCACCTAACAACAACAACAACAACATTTTTTATCAGATAAAGAGCTATTTATTTTTTTTAACTTTATTGACTACCCTTTTCCCCTAACCAACTCACTTCCATTTCTAGCTACCTCTCACTTGTTTTTAGTACACTCACTGTTTATAAGCTTTGTGATGCCCATTTATTTTGTGTCTTGTATCCCAACAGATGCTCAATGCATGTTTGGTGAGTGAGGAAATGAATTCCCTTATAACATTTTTCTGTGCCAATTTAAAGGTCTGATTTTCCCCGAAACTAACTTGTATAAAAGAGCAATTTAAAAAATCTCATTCTGACTTCAAAAGAAGGGTGTGCTTGGCTTTAACAAATGCATCTTCTAAGAAATGGTTTTAAGTTAGCAGTTAAAAATGGAATCAAAATATTTTCTGGCAACTGAGGGTTTTGTGAAATACACCAGTCAATCAACAAATATTTATTATACATGTATATGTGATTTGCCAGGACCAAGGCATACAATGGTGAAGAGATCCTTTGCTTTCTAAAGATTAATAATAATAATAATAATAATAATTTACTGAGTTTCCCCTTGGAGGGACAAGTAATTCGAAGGGTAGAGGGACTGCACAAGAGAGGAAGACCCTGGATGAGATGGATTAATTCAGTGACTGTGGTAATGGGAGCGGGTGTGTCAGAGACAATGAAATTGGCTCAAGAGAGAGGAGGGTTCAGAGCTATTGTATGTAGGGTTACTATGAGTCACAGGTGATTAACAGCATGCAACAACAACAATAATATTGAGTTTCTATTACTTGTCAAGGTCTCTACAGTCCCTATTCCTAAAACACACTATAATTATAATCCTCTAATCCTTCCCAGTAACACAAAACTCAAGAGTTCATAGTTG